GCCACATTGCGTTGCATATATATTAATATTCATTTCAATGGCAGTCTGCAGGGTTTACGAACATCCGTTGTTCGACCTGTTAGTCAAATGCGTTTTGTTTAAATATACTTTTTCATTTTTTTGGTCTTTTGGAAAATGTTGTTTGTGCTGTATTTAGACCCCTCTAACAAGAAATTTGTTTTGCATGCACACGTATAAAAATTGCGGTTTTTATCCAACGCAATCATATGTTTGAACGTTGTTTTCAATTTACGCAGCTTTCTACATATTGTCATAAGGCAAATCAAGATCATGGAATTAGGATTTTAAAAAATGCAAAATGTTTGATACGTGATTTTTTTCATTTTTTATGTTAAAAAATATGTATAATTTTTTTCATGAGAAAATTCATTTCTAAGAGTGGAAGAGCAGTAACTCTAAGTTTTTTTTCAAGGGGGAAATACAAGGTTGCAGTTGTTTTCCGCTCGTCCATTTCGTTGATTACGTTTGATTTTGTGAGTATTTATGGACTTCGCCTTTTTGAATTTACCTTAGAGCTCTGTATTTTTGTTATACTTTTTTTTAGACAAGATATAACCTACCTATCGTAAAACATCGATTCAAGATTTTATTGCAATTGAGTTTTTACTATTTTTCCGATCATTGGGGAAAACATTCGAATCGACTAAATTGCAGAGAACTTTCAAATGGAGAAAAGGAATTCATTATAATGGGGTCTGAATTTATATTCAATTTTTTCATTTATATGAAAATAGAAAGGTGAAGAGCATGGATTGATAAAATGATCATGTTACTGCATGAGTTTCTTTAACATCACTGCTGATAATATGACAACAAGAAACGATTTAAATACACATATTAAAGAATATATATTAGACGTGTTAAAATGTATATAAATGAAAAAAATGTGATATATTTATTGCGAAAGGGGATTTGAAAACTTCCTTATTTATTTGAACTGTTACTTAGCCTTGTATGAAATATTTAAATGTTCTGAATTTGGTCATTTTGAAGTATAAATTAGCTTCATATTTCAGTTTTACGTTATCAAAGCGTAAATTTAAATTTTCCAAAATCATTTATTTTTTTTGGATATTTATATATAAAAATTAATTTTTATGTAAACTGTTGGGCGAACAAAAAAGAGAAGTAAATCAATATGTCAGAAATTGTGTTTTCTTTGGGCGAACAATTTATCTGTGAAATATTTAAGTTAACTTTATCCTATCATGTTTATTCTACACAGGTACTTTAGTACAAACAATCATGGTGTACCTTTCGTTGGTTGCATATTAACTGTATACCGATCAATATGCATACAAATTGCAATATACAATGTACATCCGCAGAGTTACACATAAACTGCACATCTGTGAAAATGTTTGTAAACTGTATATCTGTAAAGATGTATATAGACAGTTAATATATATCGTTAGAAATGTACAGTTTATATGCATCGTTAATCTCTCTCTCTCTCTCTCTCTCTCTCTCTCTCTCTCGTTTATTTACTCACTCATGGTTATACACTCTGTCATTAACTCACTCAATTTTTTCTTCCATTCACTGTCTCTTTTACCCACTCTCTTGTCCGGTAAAACAAAAACACTTAAAAAAGCGTTTAAAATTTGCAAGTCCATGATCTTTTTTTTTTGCCTCATGACATTATCATATATGAAAAGCTGTTGCGTATAACTTTGAAAAACTATATATTTTGTTATGTTTTGCATGTATATAACACGTAGTCATATATCAGTCTATCCTGCTAGTGTATTAGGGTTATCTGTTTCGTAACAAATTATGTAGACAGCTTTTTGTCTATCTTGTCTGATTACCTGCAATAGTCTAAGATAATTGTAGTCTAGATTTCAGTTTAAAAATGCTAAATTAATATGTTAAGCATATTTAAGTGGCAAATATTTCATGCATGTTCAGGACGAAAAGTGACAATGAACTATACACAGCTTCTATAGTGCAAACAATATCTTGATGTACATTAAGTTAGATGCATATAATCTGTATACCAGTTAAGATGCATTTAAACTGTACATCTGTATAACTGAATATACATGTACATCCGTTGAGATGCATATATCAAACTGTACATCTGCGACCCATTGTAGGCGTTGGACTGTTTTCTGCTCTTTGGTCGGGTTGTTGTCTCTTTTGCATATTCTCCGTTTCCATTTTCAATTTCATCTGTGAAAATGTATATAAACTGTATATCTGTAAAAATGTATAAATAAAGGCAACAGTTGTATACCGCTGTTCGAAACTCATAAATCGATAGAGATAAAAACAAATCCGGGTTACAAACTAAAACTGAGGGAAACGCATCAAATATAAGAGGAGAACAACGACACAACACAAACACAACATTAAATGTAACACACACAGAAACGAACTATAATATAACAATGGCCATTTTCCTGACTTGGTACAGGACATTTTAAGAAAAAAATGGTGGGTTGAACCTGTTTTTTTGGCATGCCAAACCTCCCGCTTTTATGGCAACGTCAAACACAACACCAAAACGACAACATCACATGACAGGACCACAATAAAAATAAATGGGAGAACATATAGGACAAAGAAACACACGAATGATAGCTAACAAAAGGTACTAGGCTTAAAATTCAATACGCCAGACACAGTTCATATATATATTTAAAAATTTACAGTTTATATGTACATATCATATACAATGTACATCTTAACAGATGCACAGTCAAAAGTAAAATAACAAAAATACCGAACTCAAAGAAAAATCAAAACGGAAGTCCAGTATCAAATGGAAAAATCAAAAGCTCAAAAACATCAAACGAATGGAAAACAACTGTCATATTCCTGACTTGGTACAGACATTCCCTTTTATAGAAAATGATGGATTAAACCTGATTTATAGCTAGTTAAACCTCGCACTTGTATGACAGTCTCACAGAATTCCATTATATTGACAACAATGTGTGAGCAAAACAAACAGACATAATAGGTAAACATGTCAAAAATTGGGATACAGCAGTCAACATTGTGTTATAATCTTAATCACTATAAAAACAAAAAAAAAGACTATGTCAACAAAGAAAAACAAACTGGCATATAGAAACTCTATTGACAAAGCACATAAGCAAAAATGAAAGACAAGAATACAAAAAAAAAAATTGACCATAACATAATAACACAATGGCGGGATTTATCAATACCGAGCCACGCCAAAAGAGTATTAGTGAGAGGTTTAGCTAACTATAAAACCAAGTTTAATCCACCATTTTCTACATAAGGAAAATGTCTGTATCAAGTCAGGAATATGACAGTTCTTTTCCATTAGTTTGATGTGTTTGCGCTTTTGATTTTGCCATTTGATAAGGGACTTTCCGTTTTGAATTTTCCTTGGAGTTCGGTATTTTTGTTATTTTACTTTTTACTTAAAGTGGACTAAACAGTTAAGGTTAATTTATATGAATCTCAACATATATACAGTTCATATGCATTTTGTCAAATTAATCGTTTATCTGCATCTTAACAGCTAAAGTAGCTCTATTTTATATGGTTTACCTGTTTATGAGATAATGATAATTGTCGGAGACGGTGTTTTGAGATGAGGGGAAATGAATGACAATATTATCCCAATTTTATTACCAGTAACTATCTCGCTCAAAAGAAAGCAACCACAAATACAACAAAGGTTTATGAGTGAGTGACTGATCTTGCCTCTTTGTATTCTTGTTCATCGTTTTCCATTTGATTTTGATTTAAGACTTCCCGTTCATTTTTTGCGTGAAACCATGATTGACTTGAGTACGTGAGGTCGTTGGTTTTTTTTTAATTCCCCGAACATGGTAGAACAAGGATTTTGGAACTGCTAATTTCTGCTTCCCCGCATTGAGGAGCAAGATTTGTCCGCACAAAGGCAGATTATGTTTTCGAGTGTGAAAGCATATCTTACTTGTTAGCGAGCAGCTTGAAATAAGACTAACCTCTGTTCAAAGTAGGCTTCATATAGATATACACAAGTTCTCGTCCTGATTTTGGTAGAAATATTGCCGCCTGGACGTCATTCGTCCACTATAGGTTGTTTCATATTCTTCTGCCTTCTGCCTTGTTCACAATTTGATTGGTAATCTCTAAACCTCATGATCTTTGAAGTTCATTTCAAAAAGAAATCAGATTTCTTTCGTGGCAAGGAATATTTATAGTCAAATTCTTTGACCGACCGTCTAAAAAACGTATTTACAAAGTTAATACTAACTTAGATAAGTTTTTTCGCCGTTGTCAAATGACTATATGGCTTATAAATTTCGATGTTTCCAGTTGTTTATTTTTCATTAGCAGAGTTAAACCAGAATCTACGTTACACGAAAAAAAAATCGAGCCACCATTTACTTTTCAATTGAGTTAATCTTATGTTTCTAATCCTTGGAATCCCACGGATGATATGGTATAAAAATATGGTCAAATTGGTCTTCTCCCGACGGTAGTAAAAACCTTGACAAAGTTGGACGTCCATTAGGCTGTGCAGGATGTATAAATTCGCAGCCACATCCGGTCAGAATTGGGACCTACCTATTGTATTACTTGTTAATAGTTTCTCGTCCTGAATATGCATGAACTAATTGCCACTGGACGTTAAACAAACACCAATCAATCAATTGATTTAATCTTTGGGAAAATGTTCGAATCGACAAAATTTTTAAATGAACAAAACGAACCCATTGTCATCAGGTATGACCTTATATTCAAAATATTTCCTCGATATAAATGTACCAAAAAATGAAGATCATGGATTGATTAAGTGATCGTATTACTGATTTCTCTAAAACATCAAATAAATGTAAATACTGCTGATAGTATTTTAGCAAGAATGTAAATACATATATTGAAAAATATGTATTATACGTGTTAAAAGATATATTAAGGTTAAAAAATTTAAACATTTTATGCGATTAGGTATATAAAAACTTCCTTGTTTATTGTTACTTTTACTCTAAAGATTTCCGCTGTTTATTTCCGCAATGAAGCGAATTGTGGCTTCTATTCTTATATTGACAATTACCCTCGCCAAAGATCTTTGCAAAAAACACACAGATGGTGAAAATGTATATTGTTTTTGTAGGTATCGAAACCTTTCTACAGTACCAGACGACTGCGCAGAAAATACTACTGTTTTGGATATGCGTGGGAATCACATGAGGACACTGTATAATCGTTTCTTCACGGGCCTACCTTATCTGCGAAAATTGATTTTATCTCATTCTTATGTTGAAAGGATTGAAGTTCTGGCATTTTACAACTTATTTCAACTAGATTCATTAGATTTAAGGCATAACTTTATAGGAAGCGATGCACTGCCTAATGGTGTATTTCAGTCTTTGATGCAATTAAAACGATTGGATTTAAGTTACAATACCTTTTCAGAGTATCCAGACAAACAACTGAGCGATTTGGTAGGTCTTGGAATTTTATCTATAAATGGCATCAACGGAAAAAAATTTGGAAAGGGATTTTCAAAGTTAACCAACCTTGAACAATTTAGATTGCAGCCTTGCAAATATGAAATATTACACAACGATACGTTCAAATATCTACGAGATCTACCTATTACTTATTTTCCTTTGGAATGTAAAATACGCAAAGTAGAAACCGGCGCATTTTTCCCATTACAGCACTTGACATCGATCAGTATATACAGAAACCGTGTTATACAAATAAGTAATTTACTTCCGTCTTTTATTGCGTTCAGAGGGCATAATATGTCATCAATACTTTTGGATAACAATAATTTCTATTTCGGAAAACGCTTTGATACTCTATCAAAAAACGATGGTGCAATATTAGGTGATATTTGTGCCAGGACAATTTCATTAGCATCGAATTCATTAATTGAAATCCGTCTTGGATTTTTCCATGCCATGAAATATAGGAACTGTATTGAAACACTTATCCTACGAGGTAACTCCCTCAATCGTCACCAAGAATATATATTTGAATTAAATTTGCTGATTAATCTAAAATATGTGGACTTATCCAAGCAGAATCCTTATTTCTTGATTGGTGAAAAGACTTTACGAAATAATTATATTGGAACCCCTAGTGGTTTTACAATAAAACTACCATCTACTTTAAAATTTATAAACTATTCAAACATTATCACCAAAAATACAAAATTAGCTCCCAAAGTGAAAGTAGTTGATGGGTACAATGTTGAAGTGTTGGATTTTGCAAATGCACAGTATATTTCTTGCAACACGACAATTTGGGGTTTCGCAAACCTCAAAAACTTCAATTTTTCGGGTTCTAGTTGTTCTTTATTGTCACCAACATTTTTCAGATATCTAAAACGTCTAGATCATCTGACATTCCGAAACGCACAATTATCACGTCCTCTAGGCAGTTATGGTTTTGAAAAACTATTACATGGATTGGTTCACTTAAGATATATAGACTTTTCTCAGAATAACTTGAAAATGTTTGTTTCTAATTTATTTGTTCATCAAAAGCACTCATTGAAAAAACTTATTCTGGATGCAAACGACTTCACTGATATTCCAATAACTGTATCAGATTTTCGTAAAATGCTACATTTGGATTTAAGAAACAACAAAATAGAATATATACACAAGCACGTGATGGCTGATATCGACAAGGCGATGAGCGATGGGTGCAATTTGACAATTTTTCTCTCTGGAAACCCACTGAAATGTAACTGTGACACTATAGATTTTATTGAATGGTTATTTAGAACAAATGTTATACTTGATGCAGAAAAGAATTATTCATGTTCCGATACGGATGGAACAATTCGAACGACTACATGGGCGTATTCTAATCTTCGTGAAACAAGGTTAAACTGCATTTCAACAACATACTTGACAATATCTATTATATTAACATCAAGTGTAATAATATTTGTAATAATGATGTCATGGGTTTGTAAATACAAAATAGCACTTAAATATTGGTATTACAACATTCGGTGGAAATATCGGTTATTTAAAGACATTAACACTCGTACTAACTTTAAGTATGATGTATTTGTTGGTTATCATCACACTGACCATAAGTTCGTGTCAGATAAAATGGTTGCTTTTCTTGAATACGAAAAAGGCCTTAAGCTCTGTCTCCACCAGCGTGATTTTCTTGCTGGACTTTATATTGCTGATAATATCATAAATGCTATTAAAGATAGTCGCAAAGTTCTTTTTGTAATATCGACAAATTATCTGAAAAGTAAATGGGGGAGATTTGAATTCGACATGGCACGTATGCAAATGTTTCAAGAGAATCTTGAGCCGCTAATCATAATGTTGCTTGAGAATATTTCACCATCAGAAATGCCCAGTGATCTGATAGATATTTGGGAACGGATAACATGTATAGAAGCAGACGAGGTCGTGCGTGAATCTACTCAAGCGTTCAGTGGTCACCAGTTCTGGGAAAAACTATATATAGCTGTGAAACCGTAATAAATGACTGTATGAAATGTGTGAGAATTTTTGAAAACACACAAGTCTTATTTTCAATGTTGTTTTTTCTGTTGGATTAGAACTAAACAACAACACCAAGCCTAGCTAACAGTTCAACAAACCACAGAAACAGCCGACTCACCCGAGGAAATAGACGTGCAAAATAAGCCTAAACAACACAGAACACTTAATGGTCCAGGTAGACTGACCAACAGTAAACTATGCTTAAGGAACTGAAAGGGTTAGAATTGGCAGCCCATATTAATGAATAAGCCACCATAAATAAACTGCAATATAATTCTAAACTTTTAATACATCAGTAAAAACAAAATTGATTTTGGATTTTTGAATACTATGGACTCGAGCATCACTGAAGAGACAATGAGCATCTGATACAATACAATTGGTACCTTTAATGTTATTGCAGTAACATCAGAAAATACAATCTCCGGCGCAGAGATCATATCCGTTCCGTTCAATACTACGTAACACTACACTCATATTAAGTGTAGTATTGCGGAGCATGTACGGAACGGATATGAACTCTGCGCCGGAGATTGCAGAAAATAGTACAGAATAATTAATGATTGCAAAGGTTTTTATACAAAAACAAAAACAGTATGCTAAATAAATATTAAAATTGATGTGTGAGTAAAACACATATGAGCATTAATCGGGAAATGATACAAAAGAGCAATCATCGACCATTAGTTGAATAACGACAGACAGTACCATGGCTTAAAAGACAAACAAACAAAGCAGTCCATTAAACACTTGACTACAGGGTTTCGGACATGAAAGATTGAGCATCATAACCGAGTGTGAACTCAGGCGATCAGGAAGAGATGTCAGTTCCTGGGCCAGTAGTTACACCCGTCGAGTTTTTTTATTTTCTTTGAAAAAAAATCCATTGATGAAACATATCTGGTGATAAAATTCACACAATTTGGGATTGGAAAATGTTTCTCGTCTTAAAAACACAAAATTAAAAATAATTTTATAAACCATCGGGCTACATTTAATTTTCTAGCCCTAATACGTAACCGGAAATTTGCAATTGAAATAGTTTCTCTGGACATAGCTATAAGAAAGGCAATACCGTTACCGATACAAATAATGTGGAATTGAAATGTAAAATGTTACGTTTCTCTTTAATATTGCTTCAATTCTATAACAAAATTTCCATATTTTTGGATTGTTTCCCTTATTTACATAAATCTTGAATAATCTTAGCTCCTCCGGTTAAATATTAATTCTTACTCCTTTATATATATATATTCATTTGCTCGACCTGCTAGTCAAATGCGTTTTGATAAAATATACTTTTTTACCTTTTTTGGTCTTTTGGAAAATGTTGTTTGTGCTGTATTTAGACCCCTCTACCAAGAAATTTGTTTTGCATGCACACGTATAAAAATTGCGATCTTTATCAAACGCAATCTAGATTTGAATGTTGTTTTCAATTTAAACTTGTATATATATATATATACATATATATATTTGATAAAAAAAAAAGAAGGGCGAAATAAATCATCGCTAAAAACAGTACGCATTGCACGTACTGTGTAAATATTATTGAGAGTTGCAATCGAGTCCAGTAAAGCCTCTAAACTACCAGCAAAACAATGTAATACCGATGATTCACGTTTTTCAGCTGTAGAACATCATTGTGAGAAAAAAAATATATTACAAAAATGTTACAATTTTCTTTCTTATTGCTTCAAACTTAAGACAAAATTTCTCTGTTTTTTTATTTGCCTTTTCTAGATACATCTTAGATGAATCATAGCTCCTCCGGGTAAATATGAATTGTAATTCGCATATGCCTTCTGAGTATTTTTTTCAGTTGGGAATAATTACAAGTGTCATGGAATAAATCAACCGATTTCAATGTGGTAAATATATCAAATAATCGGATCATTAAATTTTGAGTCATACATATCAAAAACAAAGAAACACGTTGTGATGAGTTTCAAATACTACAAACAAAAACAATAAAATTAAAATTCGTGAAATGAAATTAATAACATAAAAACTAAAAAAAACTAAAAAACTAAAAAAGGCTACTGAAATATACAACAAACAGAGAAATATTAACGATATACTGTGTAGCCGTAGGAGATATGGTTTGTCGGCGTACATATAGTACATGTATAAATGAAAAGAGGTGTGGGGAATACGTCAATGAGAGAGCAACCTCACGACATAAACAATAGTTGACGCGAAGTATTCAACGGTAGAAGGTGTCTATAAATAGATCATGCTCTTACAAACTTAGAATATTGTAAAGTGCTCAAGACTCAAATGATCTCTAAATTGGTTGTATTTAATAATTAGTGTCATTGTCAGTGCAATGTTTATAATTAATGCATGACTTCCTTTTTAGGCATTTCATTTATGGATTAGTTTTAATGATGTAAGGACTTTCTTATTATTTGTGAAATATTTAAGTCTAGGTTAGTCTATGGAAAGGTTTATACTATGAAATTTAGAGCGAGGGGCTTGCCCCGAGCTCTTAATTTCATAGTATATACCTTTCATAGACTATCCAATTTAGCACATATTTACGACTCGAGTAATCTTTTAATTGGTCTATTGATAGTTTATTTTGGCTGACTACTTGTATCACAGGTGTTTGTAAAACGCAGCTCATTAACGAAGTTTTGTAAATCTACTCACTGGTATCATTGTAAAATATGTGATTTCAAAAGGCCCTTCACTCCAGAATGAAAAGATGGTAGCTGCTGGTGTATGTATGTATATTGATATAAAGCGGTGTTTTACTATACATGTTCTTATATGGTAAGATGACAAAATAAATTGACCAAAAGCAGGCAATAATTAAATTGCAGTGGAAGCTTTACATGTTTAGAAAACATTTTTTAATTTCACAGTAAAACTAAAGCTATAATAAATTTGAAACATATAGATAGTTTGTCCCCGTAGATATAGTCTAGCAGATATGCATTTTAAAGCAACTACCAATAGATCAGAGATTATAGGTTTTGTGTTTTGTGTTGTTTTTTTATTATTTCAAAGTAAAAACTAAAAGATTTATCAGAATATGTTTATATATATATATATAGGTGGCACATTATCTTCAGACATAATCACAGTTTTTCAATTCATGACATCGTCCTAAACGTGCATGAAATATTTGCCACTGGACATTAAGCAACCAATAATCAATAAATCAATCAATTCATGACGAAACAGATCACCTTCCTTAAGAAAGTTTAAAAAATTATCACCAAGTTGCTTTAATTTTCCTTCACAAGGTTTCATAGTACACACTGTTTTGAATTCAAAGTAATTGCATGGATGATACATTATCATAATTTTAAGATATCGTTGTACTCTAATCAAGGTATAAAGAACCATATGTATTACCCTTTATTTAAATGATAAAATTTGCAATTGTCAAAAACATTTTTTAGATCCAAAGATTTTAATAGCAGGATATTTAAAAGTCAACGTGAAAACTAATTACAAACTATTTAATTTAATTTGGAACACCGCATTTTATTTCAAAATAGCCAGTGGCAATTTTTGTTTTAAATATCTTGATTACGATACAATGAAATCTTACCCGTGTGGTCATTCATGTGTAGTTACTTAGTACACGGGAAAAGTATGTACTATGAAAATTAGAAGGCAAATATAAGCAATTTGATTGGACGAGAAGTTGTAAGTATGTGCTAAAAAACAAAAAATGCGTTATACATATTAGGTAACACAACAGAACAAAGAAAATGTAGGAATTGTATATGTTTCCTGATTGTGAGTATGAATTTAAATCATGTAATATTTTAGTGAGGAATTATTACAGTTTAAATCAATTGATACATTTGAGTTACAACTAAATTTTATTTAACAGCCAATATTTTGATCCGGCTTTTAACATCAATTACTATTTCATTATGTCATGGAAATGTACAAATAAAATGCCTTTTAAAGTTTTTAATATGTTCAAATTCCCGTTTTTTTTTTATCGAAATATTGGAAATAACTATTCTTCCCAACCGCTGATCCAGTGATCAAAGTTTTGGACAGCTAAAGATTAAGGTATTTTTTTTTTATTTTAAAGCTTTTTTTCTTTTTTTGCAAATGCTTTGATATTGTTTAATAATTTAGTAATTTGAAGTTATTAATATTTTCATAATAATATTCACGGTACCATATTTACTGCACAGTAAACTTTAACTTATTTTGAGTTTTTTGTTTGTTTCTCAATTCAACTTTTAGTCAGTTTCAATCACTGTGTGATAAATCCTTTCAATCTGATAAATGTGCTTCGGGGCAGTTGTAACTCATTTATAGAAACTCTATATTTTGAACTGTAAATAGACCCACATAATAGGATAATCCCTTACTAAGAACATGATTCACATTCATTCTTCACAGTTAAGAGGCATCAAATCCTACAATTTCATTGGCCGAGAGCACTTTGCTATATTCTAACTGTGGTCAATTAACGAAACAAACACTATCAAAGATATCTGCCATTCATACTGAATTTTCCGCATGACAAACACATTACGATTGGACAAAAGACAACCACTGGCGAGGTTCTTCACATGGAAAAGACACATGCGCAGTATTATATATTTTATCAAATGTTCAACTGTATGCAGGCTAAGAAGTTTATGTAACACGACTGCCAAACTTAATTGAATACTTCATGTGAATATATATTCTTGGGTATTCAAAGAAGCAAAACTTACACTCATCCTGTACATTGTTTACTAAGGGATCGACTAGATGAAAGGCCTGGTATCTTTCATGATTGTCTTAACATATGTTATTGTAACATTATTCAAGAGGATTAAATGCAAGTTATTACAACTCTCCATATGGTATCAAATAAAGTATAGCTAGAAACACACGCATTTATAAAAGGGACATTCCCCCCCCCCCTATTTTTGAGTTTATCATTACTATTTTTATATGTACATTCTACCATACAAGATGTATAATGATGATATTGCCGTTTAGTTCCCCTTTCACCAGAACATGTTGTTAACTGTAGATACAACCCTTGAAATATTTTGTTCAAGTCTAGAATACAAGTTATTTGATCAATTCTGTAAGTTTATAATTATTTCTTAAATAACTCCGAAGCGTATAAGCGTCAAATGAACTATTTCTTATCTTTGCGCTATTTTGGAAACTTATGCATTATTCAGCATAACTGCAGTCATTACATATAGGCAATATTTCATATAATGGCTCAGAAAGTCCATTGAATTCAGACGAGACTATCAGCGACATCGAGAAAATTTGTAATAAAAGGGGAGAGGGTGCACGTAAAACTCGTTTAACCCACCGAAT